TATGGATGTTCCATATGGATATTATATCTCCTTTATTATTAGTACCGTTTAGTAATTTCTTGAAATAACACCGTCTCTGTGCTCGGATCAATGCAATCCATATCCTGATTGGCTGGATAATTAACCTACACACACAGTACTCAACAAAATGCAAAAATCCACCATTAACCAATTTCCTTAAATGTCACTTGCGACCTGGTGATCACAAAGACAAGGCTTTAAATGCTTTTACAAACTCAAAGGTACTATGAAAGAAATTAAATCCAGGAGGTAATACTGCTGATTAATGGAAAGCTTGAGAAGAGGCATATGCTAAAATTGTCACGTTCTGTACACCCATCAAATCAGTGAACAATCTAAGGAAATCAACCCTGCTTCCTGTGACTCTCCACTAATCAAAAAGAATAAAAACAGAAATGGCAGAAGGGTCAGCCAACTCTGTTGTACAAACAACCGGCTAAGGTGCACAAGTGCAGCATGTATGCGTGAAATTTCCAAATCAAATATTTGAAATGTAAAAAGAAATCTGGTGTGAGTCAGACTGGAAGAGAAACATATATCCGTGCTTACCATAATGCATGTAGCAGTTGCCTTTTGTGGGATCGAGTTGGATGGCCTTGAGGAAGTACCTCTCCGCTTCTGTTTTCTGCCCCTGAGAGAGACGGATTAAACACAGTGTCATTATTGTTTCAACTGCTCCTCAAAGCTACTCAGTCTAAAAACACCACACTCGACTCAACAGCCAAAATACCTCTGTGTATACCTAATGTCCCTCTTCCAACCACAGACGTACTCTAACAATAAATCTTAACAAATAGACACGAAACACACGGATCGCTACTGTTACTCTGTCAGGCTCATGTGTCGTCCCACAAAAGCAGACACTGTCACGTTTAGCACAGCAGACCCGACAGGGTAAAGTCTCATTCATTAAACATATTATCTTTGCAAAGAGCACTTCCGGAGCATAGCTGCAGATTGTCAGTGTGTGTGGCCTAACTGCTATTAAACAAGACAGTGAGTAGCGAAGAGGAGAAAACAGAAAGGCTTGTGTCTATAATGCCCAAGTACAGGTGTACTGCACACAAACACATATGATTTTTATTTTTGTTTTTATGTTCCAGAAAGAATCCATACCGGAGGGGGGGCGAGCATAATATGATGTGAGGAAGACACACTGAAGCCCTGCAGACCACAAAAGCTTCCTCGGGCCCTTTACACTGTGACATGTAACCAATCACAGCTCTAACAGAACCGAGCAGCTGGCCAATAGAAGTGCCAACTGGGACTCTGACACATCGCTGATCTCAGTTGGGCACCAGATGTCATCTGATCAACAATTAACCATGTGCACTCATCGATAAAAGCTGATGCATTAATAATGCAGCCATCAGTATGCATTTGAGAGAGAGATAAAGCCTTCTCATGAAGACTAATATACTAAGGCATTACTGGATTATGCAAAGCCAGTAAAAACAACGTGAATGAGTGGGACACTTAGCGCAGAACTTCAGTTCAGTCATAGAGAAGGAATGGGCCCTATATCGTATTAATGACTGCAGACTTCATTTTCAGTGAGCGGTAGATTCAATAAATACAGAAATTTCTAATGTAAACATCTGAGTGTAGTTTCCATTGATGCTGCAGAAAATGAAGCCTGTGCCAAGGACACGTTTAACAGAGCTGATTGAAGTTTTATTCTGAAAAGCATCACTTTTGTGTATTTTTATACTTATATTCACAGATGGGGGAATGCAGACATTTTACCGCTAGCTGCTTTTTTCAACAAAGACCTACAGTTATTAAACCTCTACAGCTTCAACTTTGACAGACTGAAATGGGTTTTAGGTCTAAGTGCATGAAAGATGTGGGCTGTGACACATTAAGAATATTAACAGAGACCATACACAGAATAAGTGAGATGTTGGTAGGACCTCAAAAATGTAACAACTTTTTTCTTTTTTTATTACTTGTTAAAAAATCATTTATTATAGGTCAAAATTAATAACTGTGCTACCCTTTTTAATTTCACCGAATCCCCTTAATCAGACGAAATGATTATGATTATGAGTGGCAATAAATAGGAATAGCTTTCATCTAAGGTACGACCAATGCAGCACGAGAAAGGGATGGAAGGAACCCCGTCTATAAATGATGACTGTACTCTGTTTATTACTCCAGTAAACATATCACTTCATTGGTCATTGTAAAACAGTTAATAAAGCAGGATGTGCTTTAGGACATGAGCTAAAGGTGTAACCAAGTCGCTACCATGTGGAGATATCGTATCTTGGGTTTCTCAGCCAACTAAAAGATAGTTTGATGTGGCTGTTTAGGTTTAATGGTAAGTAGAATCTGTTTAAAGTCTGCTTGTCATTGTCCAACACTAGTTTAGCATGCAAACATACAAACATCTGCTGAGTACATGCGAATACAGCTTTGTCGGATATCTACTTATTATGCAAGGTGACTTATTGTGCAATATTCTCCTGTTTGTCGCACACTCGCTGAGCTCAGTTGCGCACGCCTCACACCTCAAATCTCCTGATAACATTGGGCAAACTGCAGATGCATCCCTGGCTCTGTGAGTGTCGAGGTTATTATGAATGAAACCTGTACTGTATTAGTTGTGGAAATGACAAGTGAATGACTGAATCCAATATTGTGAGCATTATAATTATAATTATGCACAACCAACAACACATCCTGCTTCTTTAGGGTGTCGGTGAAGGTGCAGGGGGGTCAGCAGGGCTGAGCATGCAATACTGATCTGTGTGATTAACTCTCCCTTTCTTCCCCTGTTTGTCCTTCTCACCATCCACGCCGTCTCTTTGCTCTCTGCGCCTCAGCAGCCACAGAAAGGCTCGCTCCGCCACCCACCACTCACCCTTCTCTGACCCTGCTGCTAAACCTTATATTGCAGCCTCTCCCAGAGGGATCTGAACCTCAAAGTCCCTGACAGCATCTGAAGTGTCTTCATCGCTCACAGTTGTTGCACAGGGAGGGCAGAGGTGGGAGGTGACAGACGGCTGCTCTTCCTGCACTGCTTTGGATCAGTACATATTAAACAACAGCCTGTGTTCACAGGTAACATTTGTCTGACACATTTCAATAAAATCTTTCAGAAATTCCTTTAAAGAATAGAGTCACTGTAAGCCTATCCAAGTAAGTTAGATCCCGTCTTTGATCGCACTTTCATTTGCACTCAAGGGATCACAGGGGTTCAAGACCCCTAAACCATCCATCATGGTCAGAGAGCTACAGACATTTATCCCCGAAGGTTTGAACTCTACTTTCCCCCAAATCAATAACACTTTCCTAAGTTTCTCCTCACAGCTCACAGACTTCTTCTCTGAATCAACTTTACCAAGTCTTAATACTCTCCTTTAAAGTATTGAGTTATTCCCTGAAACCATCCTTGCTGATGGGTTTTGGTTCCATTGAATTTTTCACAGGGATCATGTCAACTTAATAAGTGAGTTTTATCTGCGTTGCCAGTTGATCTATTCTTTCAGCTGGCAACCGGTCAGCGGACAGAACGGCAAATCAATCCACCGCCAGTGTGCAGAGGACTAATAACAATGACCCACAACTGTACAGCACTTCAGCAACTCAGATGAAAGACAGTTTGTGGTTTTTCTGAAGACTCAAAAAATGCAGAAGCAGTCGGCCCGTCCAAGCCTACAGCCTGTACAAAACACACGAAAAAAAGCCACATTCTTTGTTTTTTTCTTTAGGGGTATATGCCAAACTATTTCCTGGCTGGGTTCAGTAACTTTTGGCACATAAAAATGTTATAACACCACAAAGTGTGGTTTTTACACCTCAGTTTTTGTATGGATTAAACAGCCCAAAAATAACGTGTTAATTAGTGATCCCCGAAGCCAAGCTTTTTATTTCCAATTCATGTGCTATGCTATGCTCACTAGCTACTGGCAGTAGCCAGTGCCATACAGATATATAAGTGGTAACTGACTTCAAGTTTATTTCCAAGGCTTTTGGTTTTATATGTGTTGACACAAAAAAGGGTAACATTATGTCTAAAAACTGTGGAAAAATTGGTTTGCCTGTTAAATTCCTCCACCTATCAGTGAGGATATTCACAAAATGATGATTGAGGAAAAACTATAAATGAAACAAACTTGAAAAGAATTCTGTTTCCATGGAGGAAATAAAAAAGGGGCAGGAAGAGTGCAGCCGTTTGCTGGAAATCCAGATATCACTGCTGCCGGCTCCTCTCATTAGGGCCCAGGCAGTGGATGAAAGGGGTGTCTGCTGAACACAAGGCCTCCACCCTTTTTTTGACCTTCTAAGCAAGCCTCTGTCTGACTTGTTTATTTGTCTTCTGACAGTCCTTTTCAGATCGGACTACTTTTTTTCTCAGCTCTTTTCCGAGTATGTACGTCTTGCTGCAGTCGATCACCGAACAACTGCACGACCAGCTCCTCATAAACTCAAGGACTCTGGAAACTGCTCCTATACTGGAGACGCCTCCATTTTTTTCATTAGTAAAACACAAGACAGGTTTCACTTTCACTTGCTGACCTGGAAGATGCCGGGCAGTGTTAGCTTTCTTTCCATTTAGTGTAGAGATTCGAGCGCTCTCTAGGCAGTTGATTAAGAATACTGTTTTAGTAGCTTCTAGTAACACATTAAAGATGCAAATGTGGAGGCACGACAAAATCAGGAAGTCATTTCATTTGATTAAACTTTACAGAGAAGCTAAAATGACCCCGAGGACATCAGTGTGTTTGTTTTGCCCTGAAACTTGATGTATTTGCTCCAAAGCAAAGAAAGATGCTATAAAACAGCAAAAGTAGAAATTAACTTTAAATTAATCTCATAAACCAAACACTAAATGTGGCACACACCTTTAAATAATAAAGTTGGTCGCAGGGTAGTGTTTAATCAGAACACTCACTAGAACGTATGATAGCAAACTGAATGGAAACACAGATAAGGGAGGATCAAAACAAAAACAACGTTACCGTCATTGCGAGAAGTTTCCCATAAGTGAGATGTGCAGGAATGTGGTCTGGCTTGGCTCGCAGCGATTCTCTGTACCAAAACTCAGCCTCAGTCAGCTTATTCAGTCTAATGTAGGCCTCTCCTGTGATGGCAAAGACAGCGTCACACGAGGGATCAAATCAAGTGTCAGAGGTTAAAACATCACACAGCTGTCTTTTATTCTTTTGATTTTTATTACAGGGCGGCAACAAATTCAGACTATAATCCAGTCATCAAACTTAATGATTTTTCTTCCAGCACTTTCATCATATTTTAAACACATGGAGTAATAAGAGGCTTTGGAGGATGTTGCAATTGCTTAAACATGTTAGATTCATACTGAAGAAATTATTTATGGTCTTATTTCAGGGTTTTTCCTGAAGTAATTCATTTCAGCTAAGTGTGCTTGATTATAGCAGAAATTCACCGTAATGCTTACAGAACAATAGGACAAGATTTCTCCCGTTGTCCTCCTTCACTCTTCCTGACCTGTCAGACATCATCCGATACCTCCCCCACCGCCACATCTGACCCTCTGCCTGCTAAAGCAACACCTGAAATAACAAAGCTATCCAGCAACCCTCGCATGGTTGGAAAAAACTGACTGGCTGGTAACGCAACACAGTAAAAATCAACATCATGATGTATTTAGGGGGAAAGTGTGAATAAAGCCCACTTGTTAAAATATGACTTGTAATATGGTTTATATTTCAATCTACACCAAGTCTTATGAACTGCCAAATGACTGAAAGAGTTGTTTAGACAAGAGGAGACTGAGGTTTGATTTCAGTGGGGATTCAGATTAATCGCTTTACTGAAAAGACAGCGATAAGCAACAGGTGACATACGCCTGCCCACAGCCTTTTAGTCTCATGAAAACACACCTCCTCATATAAGTGATAACATAGAGATACCTCTTTCACACAGATGCATGCATGTAAATAATGCAAATACATATTAATTTTATTCCAAAACATGTTAATATGTTATTTTTTCTCCAGTTATAGAGTGTAGTGGTTTACACATTTGGTTAACTAGTGAAAGATCCCTGTTCTGATGATGAGAGGAGTCAAAAATCCCTTTGGGGTTGTGTCAGGTGTAAAAATCCAACATGCAGCGCTACCTGCTGCAGCGATGCCGTGTGTAGCATTACAGCCTCATGCTGCATGTTTCCATCAGATTGTAGCTACATAATAACAAAACTCCCATCAACAGCAGAGTGGATTAGGCAGCATTACACCAAGCTTTCCATTTCCATTGGGTCATAATGAAAACCTCTGTGTGTAAAAGTCCTACACCGGTGGTTATTTTAAATGTATATACTGAATTATTAGTTCAAAGGTTAATAAATAATCATCATGTTTATATAGAGGCTTATCTAACCTGCAGTGACTTATAGCTAATCCAAGGTGCTGAGCTGTTTAAAAATGCACATATTGGTCCATTTTGACACGACCTCTTCCTATATTGATTGGCTTAAAAGCAGCCAAATTACTTGACTCCATTTCCTGGCAGCAGACCTCTGTACCTCTGAGATTAGCACAAACATTAACGTGCAATTAGAAGTGACATCGAATCCAAGGAGCTGAAAACCAGCTCCTTGGAGTGGAACATTCCTCAGCCAACCAGAAAGAGCTGGAGCGAGACCAGCAGGGTACAGATTACCACCCAGGTCCGCCTCTGATGAAAGCTTCTGCTCCTTGGCGTCTGACAAACAGCATGAGAGCAGCGCAGTGAGTGAAACTGAAAATAGATATGAGCAGGTGTGCCAAATGTGCAAATCAGCTCAGCGAGGAAACAACGCTAAGCTGCAGAAATCACAGATCTGTGGCTCGGTGCCTCCATTACAGGCGCAACGCTGCTCCTTAATGGGGCCTGAAGCTTTCATCAACATTTTGACATAATCTCAGGAGCTCCGTCACATTGCATTTTGCCAACACATAAGCAAACCTGTGGCACTGCCTAGTCTGGATTACTTATTGTTCCAGGTTTTCTGTGTGTGTGTATAAGTAGCCTCATATGTGTTTGTGTGTGTGTGTGTGCGTGCGTGCGCGCGTGTGTGTGTGTGTGTGTGTGTGTGCACGTGCGTGTGCGTGTGTGTGTGCGCGCATGCGTGTGTGTGTGTGTGTGTGTGCGTGTCTGTGTGTCTGTGTGTGAGAGAGAGAGAGAGAGAGAAAAACAAGCAGGAAGGGCAGAGAAAAAAGAAAAAGCAATGGAGTGCACAGATATAATGAGGCTGAAAGCAGCTGTTCTACAGCTGTAATGCAACAAGCTGGGTTGCTCTTGCAGTGAAAAGCATCTGTTTAACATGACATTGTAAAGCTTCCGATTGTCTACCTCTGTCTAACTGTATGAATCAGATCAGCTGTCTCACACACTGCCTTCGTTCCTTTAAATTAGCACAGTTTGCTATACGTGTATTTATCTAACTTTTGTTTTTGACCCCCCAAAAAATCTCAGCAACACCAACAGAAATCCTGGTTTTGGCTCGTATTACTAATTTTTATGACACCGTGCCTTACAAATATTTTTTCTTTCTTTCTTTTTATAGGATATTATGGACCTGAATAGTGATTCTTTGAAGTTTTCATGTTTGCATTTTTATTGCCTTTTATAGTAGCCTGCTCTGGAAATCTCAGATCTTTAATGTTTATGCAAGGAATAAAGAAATATAGTCCAAAATAATACACAATATGCAGGAAGTACACGGCCTTTGTACTTTTCCTGTGTTTTGTGAAGCATAAATGTGTGATGACCAGCTGATAATACCTCCAAGACCTCCACAGACTTTTTTCTTCCACAGTAAAAACAGTATCTATTACGCTGATGGTCCTGAAACACGAGCAGCTCTTACCCATCATGTTGTAGAGGCTCTGCGGTGCAAACTGTCGCGGCATTTTCTGTATCGCTTCTTTAAACACAGAGAGGGCCTCCTGTGAATGAAACACACAAAAAAGAAGGTTTGGGACGTTTGCATTAGAGAGCACAGAGACCCCGCTAGAGAAGCCGGCTCTGGGGTAACTCGTCATTCCTCCCATGCAGCCGGGGCCATGACAATATGAATACACAGCGTGGAATTGGGGGTCGCCAGAAGGCTGCTTCATACAGAGCTGAGCACAAAGGCTCTATCCTCAGTGTCACGGCTGTTAAGACAACTAGAGCCGTGTCGCTTGTTGACTTTAGCATGTATAATGTGTTGGTCCGGCAAGTCACCTCAGACTCGCTCAGAGTTTAAATGGCAGAAGGACCTGAAAGTATTTTATTGCTGAAGCAAATGTTGCGGTTAGAGGTCAGAGGAAGTGGGAATGCTCTGTTCCTCAAGGATGCCAACAATTTAGAAAGGCCTTTATTGAATCGGCCGTAGGACCGCTTCATTCTTGATTGAATCAGCAGCATCGGTGCGTATTTTCAATATAAATGTACAGCAAGTGGAAAACCAGTTACTTTAGCCAGCGCTGGAGGTCTTTTGGGGCATGAAAGAGAAAATTTGTTAGAAACAGCCTGAGGAGTATCTGCACATACGCTTTGTCCCCTATGACTGAGACCATTTTGTAACATGTCCATATAAAAGTAAGCTTTTTTTTTTGTTTCCCCAAAAGGCTGCTTGGGTAACTGCCTGCATTTCATCTCAGTTCACTGTGGTATGAAATTTTCCAACATTTACGTATGCAGAGGAGTACTGTTTCAACTCTAGCAATGGATCTGTTTGTTAGACAAATATAAAAAACAAAGATGAGACAAAAAAAAGATTTATATTACTGCAAATGCAATCGAGACATTTCCTTTTCCTGTTTCAAGGGCGGGTTTTGGGGGGAATTGACAAAAATAAAAAACAGTATTCTTGCCTCCACTTGGTGTATTTTATTGTATCCTTAACCTTTATTATGACATGCTATAAGGTTATTATTGCCTTAAATATGTTCTTAGCATACGAGATCTGCAATCTGTCATTACCTCCTGGTGTCCCTGTTCGTGGAGCAGCTTGCCCAGGTTGTACAGGCAGCTTGTGACTGAGCTCTTGTGGGCGTGAGGGTCCTTCAAATTCTCATCTGGGATATCAGCACAGGTCAGGAAAGTGCGTTTGGCCTCATCTAGGCGACCCTGATTCATCAGGATGATGCCTGTGTTCAAGTAGGCTGCTGTTGGGATCAAACGAAACACAAACAGAAAGCTTAGACTGTTCCTGTCGCTTCACTCGATCGATAAAAGCTCAGTGATAATTGCGCTTACAATGATAAACTGGCATCAGACGCTCCAGTCACAGTGATATCAAGTGATAAAGCACATAATATTGTAGCGTGGCTCATTTATCTGGGATCCAGGATTCCTTCTCCCAACAAAGTCCTTGTTTTTGCCTCTGTTGATTTGAAGCAACGGCTAAAAAAATCATTTTCATATGAATTTCATTAAACTACTGTTGATGCTTTTCCAGCTTTACTGTATGTTTGATATTTGCACACGTCCCGCGGGATACTTTGAATGTACGTTAAACTTTCTCTTGAACGGTCAAAGACGGCATCTAATGATCAATACGCAGCTGAAGGGTAATTAGTCTCTGTAGACCTTCCTCTCTAAACAACTCCCTATCAAGTCTGGCTGCTGGAATAAATTAACTTGAAACAGAAGATCAATCAGGACATATCAAATCAAAAACAAATAGCTAGAAAAAAAACCCCTCCTTTTTGTTTTTGTTGTTTTCCCTCCAACATCCTTGAAAATCGTTATCCTGATGCTTATGTTCTACTCTTCACTCTTCCACCTTACAACAATTTTACCCATTCTGCTTATTGTTGTGCATCTGATGGTAAATATCTGAACCCTTTTCCCAACGACAGGCTGTGCAGACGATGGACGGCAGATAAGAAAAACAGAGACAAAGGAAAACTTTTCCAATTTCGTCAGCCTTCTAACAACTGATTCTCTCTCTCAAAAAAGTGACACAAATCAATAGTGCCTCATCAAAGAATGGGATAAATGTGCATGCCGGGTATAAATGTGACAGTTTGGCCCAGTTAGCTCCCAATTAGCCAGTGAGTAATAGTGTAACCTTGAAAAAACACACATTAGCTGTCACATTCTCATCCGCCTTCAAAACGTGTGCTGCTTAGGGTAATTAATTAACCTTGTTATCAGCGTTAACAGATTGGATAATTGCACGCTGAATGGAAATTTTCTAGTCTAACTGTGATCTTGATTAGGTGTATAATTAATCTGGGGAATAAAGGAAGAAACTTTCAGGATTGTCTGTTTATCTGTCATTGATTGATGCGCAGAACAACGGGGAGCTAATTTTATTTCATGATCAGGTAAGAATGTGATTTACACTAATCAGGGAGCAAAAAGAAAAGAGGTGAAAATATAACAAAAGAAATGGATAAAACTGCGAGGAACTCGTGGTGAGAAGAAGAGACAAAGCAGAGGAGGGCAGGACAATGGAGAGAAAAATAAGTAAATGTACAAAGCAAGAATAAAATAAACAGAAGCACCATGGCTTCAATCATAATAAATCACTTAATGTTTATGCTTTATCTGCGGACATATCGGGCTTTGAAAGCAGTCGCACAGCTGCACCGAAGGTTTAATTCAGCTGTACACACACTGGCCTTTGCCACCTCTTCCCTTCCCTTCACATAACCACAGCCAGTGTTCGCTGTTGCCTGGACACAGCACAACCACGACCACAAGTGCTGGAGATTGTCAATAAAAAAAGGAGAGCTGTACTTACAAGCCAGAGTTGGCCGGCTCCCAATGGCCAGCTTATAGTAGTGAAGTGCCTCTGAGAACTTGTTGCTCTCCTGTAGCAGCAAACCACTGGAGCAGACAAAGGAAAAGACAGTTCTGACAATTTAGAGCTTTAAAAACTCTAAAGAGGAGATCGTTTCAGTTAAAAGCCTCTGTTATGATTAAACACCAACATCAGCCAGCTGATAAATGTGAAGGGAACAGTTTCGCAAACCACAGACATTTGATCACACTGAGTACTGGCCGGTGTTTTGTGTTTTCCCCTCAGACTAAAACAGCATCATTAATAACGCTGTCAGGCGGACAGCGCCCCGGGGAATTGAAAACAAGACGGCACTTCCTCTCAGAGGAGCTCTGATCAATGTACACATGAGAAAGGAGAGTTTTTCCAATCATTCATTCACGTTTTAAGACAATGAGATGGTTATAAATGCACAGTAGCATCAACAGATTAAAAACAAACAAACAAATAAAAAGTTTGGGGCCAATGTTTGACGAAAATATTGAATGCAACAATAAGTGTGATTAAAAACACTCACAGGTTATAGAGCATGTCAGCCATGTTGCTGCGGTAATACAGGGCATTTCTGTAAGCCTGCTCCGCCCCCTCCATCTTTCCCTGGCTCTTCAAGACATTTCCAAGGTTGCCCCATGCTGACGGGTCACGCAGGGTCACAAAAGAAAAGGTTAATCAAAAGAAAAAGAAAAAAGTCGGTGAATTATAACAGCAGGAGGAACATTTCTATGGCAAGTAATCATTTTCTTTTGTTATTCACAGCCTCATGCTGCCGTGGCTTCAGTGCCTTTTAACCTCTGAGGAGGACGTTGTTCTGCTGCAGCTGGCATACCAAGACAGTACTGCTGAAGAGAGATGGCACACCGGGGGAGCTTTGTGTATAAACCACCAGTTTTTCCAGTGTGTATGAAAAGAAGACCACCACAGCGCCATTGAATAGCTAACGGCATTAAATAGCAAAGAGCAGTAACTGACAGGAGATGTAAGGCTGCCAAGATGTTTTGTACATATTGTGCAGATACTCTGCAGTGTGGAAATGCATCCAGAAAACATGAACTAAGTAATAAATACGAAGAGAAAAAGGTACAATAATGGGATTTAATGCTTAATGGCAGCGTGCAACATTAGCATCTCTTCAATTTGCTTTGGAATAATTTATAAAGTGTACAGTATTAAAAATAAAAGACTATTATGACTCAAGAGATGCGCCTAATGAGGTGCACGCTGCTCTAAATGTGTAAGAGTAGTACTTTTTAACCTTGAGGTATTATTCCATCTCCCCTCTCTAATACTCATTCAATAGGAAGATAAAATCCATTAACGGGTGGTTACACTGCTGTAATGTGCAGCGTTTAAAACACACAAGTGTTTAGGATAACAGGAAAAAAATAAAAGCTTTCTTCATTCACCTGCTCTGAACGCTCAGTGAAAAAAGTGTCGTAAAC